GGGTGATGCCATCCGCACGACAGAACTGTCCAAGCCGACCAGTCGCGAACTCGCCGCCACGGTCAGAGTGGAGACAGAGCACAGGGAGACCGCGGTGGAGGCGCGCAGCTACAACCCACGGGATAAGAACGTCAGGCACGTCCGCCTTCCGCTCTAGGGGAAAAACCGTGATGCAAAGCGTATAGTCGTCGACAAGCACGAGAAAGTAGCAGTCGTGACGAGGTCCAGGGACGGGGGCTGGGCCCCAGACGTTCCGGTGTAGTGTCTGGAGGGGTGCGGTGGCAGGGCAAAGTGAGGAGGAGTGAGGAGCACGGCGCAACCGGCCCTTGACGCAAGGCGTGCACGGCGGCGCAGGCGTGGGAGGGAGGGCAGGAGGCGACGCAGGGAGACCTAGGACGAGACCGTGCTAGGACATGTGACGCAGACGCGGGAGTGCAGGGTGACCTAGGCGGTGGTGCCACAGAAGCGACGGGTGAGTGAGCGACCGACACGAGCAAGCAGCGGCGACCTGGGTAGACGCAGGGCTCGGGGAGGACGCCCCAACCGGGGGGAAGTTGTGTCCAGCGTAAATTAGCCAGACACCGGGTCCCGGAGAAACGTCGCAAGGGGGGAACCTGAGGCGGCCTCGGCACAGACAGCGTACCGCTCGTGACTTAGGAACGTAGTGGTGATGAAGAGCTCCTGAAGACGGCTGACACCAACTAAGTTCCCGCAGAACGAAGGGATGTGCAGGCCTGTAAGGGAACCTGAGGGAACGGCTGGACAGGGAAGGGTAGTGTAGCTACGAGCAATGACAGGACCAGAAGAGAGGTCAGCAAGTGCGACCACGGCAGGCTTGGCAAGCGGCGTGAGTGTGGCGTGGTCGCGGAAGAAGCAGGCAGACGCATCGGAGTAAAGTGTGAAGGACACCGACGCAGTAACGGCAGACGAAGGAGGGGCGAGTGTAGAGCCTAGGCTAGACAAAGCAAATGGTCCTACGCCTTACGCAGCAGGTGCTACGCCTAAGCTAGAGAACACAGGGTAATAAGTTCCGGACACACTAGTAGTGCCAGCATACAGAGAATGCAGGGCAGAACCAATCTGATCCATCTGTAAGTCAAAACCAGGCACACCGTGGCATAGCAGACAGGGCCAGTCAGGGAGGGCCGGGGCCGGGCCGAAGCGGCGACGGAAGAGGTCATCGAGGCGGCGGAAGCAGCGGGCGGTCGGGTGCGGGCGGCGGCACACAATGCCATGGAGGGGCCCGGTCAGGAGCTTGTACGGGCAGCTCACAACACCGAAGCCACCGGTAGAGGCCGAGCTGCGAGGGCCGCCACCTCGGCCACCACCTCCTGGGGCTCCTGGCCAACCCGGCGGGAGGTGGGCCCACGGCTGCTGCTGCTGCTGCTGCGGATGCTGATGCTCCTGGACACCAGCCCCAACCCCCTCGTTAGAACCACTTTCCCCGCCACCACCACGCCCTCCCTTGGGGCCGCGGCGGCCCCGACGCTGTCGCTCCCGCGGGAAGGCCGCAGCTGCGGTCTCAGTGGCAGGGGCAGCCGTAGCGACCGCGGCGGAGACGTCAACGTACGTGCACTGGGAGGGAGCACAGCCCTGAAAGATAGGGACTGGAAGTGGTCACGGGCAGTGGCTAAGCGGTCAGGCAGGCGCATGGCAATAAGGTACAGGGTAGCGCAGAACGGTGGGGGAAATGCAGTGAGTTGGGCGGCAGTGCTAGCAGCGCGGTAGCTTGTCTCTAGTGCACGGAGGTGAGTGGCAAGGTCAGCGACAGTGGGGAAAGCGGAAAGGTCGGGGAATAGCATGGGGAGGATCAAGCGGCGAGCGGAGGCAGAGGCATGTGTGGAGTAGCGCGCAACTACGGCATCTAGGAAGTCATTAGCGTTCGCGATAGCAGTGAAGCGCGGACGCTCAGACAGGGGAAGCGCATGACTAATGGCAAGCTGCGCTACAGCATCGCGAGAATCCCATACAAGGCGAGCGAGCGCAGCAGCAGAGAAGTCCTCACTCTCAGCAGTGGTGGGGTCAGTAGGGAGGGGATCAGACGCGGGGGGGTGAGGAAGGAAGCCATCAACATGCAAAGCCAGGTAGTGCCCATCATGGCGCTGACCTGTCAGGTGCCGGCGAAGATAGACAAGCCAGGCGGCGAAGTCGATCGCATGCCCCTCCGCGTCCAGGCGAAGTACGGCGTCCGCCATCGTGCAACCTCAGCGGCACAGATCCACGGCGGCACAGCGTCACGGTGGCACAGCGGCACGGGGACACGGCGGCACAGCGGCACAGGTACTCAGCCGGCGGCATAACAGCGTGGCGGCAGGACTCTCTGGCGGGAAAACCGGGCCGAGGAGGACCTGAGGCGCGCAGGGCCCGAGGCGCGCAGAGCTTGCAGGGCGCAAAGGGCCGGTGGAGCGCTGGGGCCAGGCGGCACGCGAGGGCCAGTGGGCGCTCGAGGAGCCGGCAGGTAGCCTAGGGCCGGCATGGCGCGAAGCGCCGGCGAGGCGCTAAGGGCCGGCGAGGCGCGAGGGGCCGGCGATGCGCGATGGGCCGGTGGGCACGGGAGGGGCCGGCGAGGTACGCGAGGAGCCGGCGGGTGTGTGAGGAGCCGGCGGGCGCGCGAGGGGCCGGCGAGCGCGAAGAGCCGGCGAGGCGAGAGAGGGGCCGAGAGGGTGCGCGAGGGCCGGCAGGGTACGCGAGGGGCCGGCGTGTACGCGAGGGGCCGGCGAGCACGCGAGGGGCCGGCTGGGCGCGAGGGGCCAGTGGGGCGCGAGGGGCCGGCTAGGCGCGAGGGGTCAGCTAGGTGCGAGGGTCCGGCGGGGCGCTAAGGGGCCGGCTCGGCGCGCTAGGGGCTGACGGGGTACGCGAGGGGCTGGCGCGGCGCTTAGGGGGCGGTGGGCACTTTAGGGGCCGGCGAGGTGCGCGAGGGACCGGCGGTACGCTAGGGGCCGGCGGGTATGCTAGGGGCCGGCGGGGTGAGCGAGGGGCCGGCGGGGTGCTAGGGGCCGGCCGGGCACGGTAAGGCTAGGGTACGACGGGGCGGTAGGCTAGGGCGAGGGGCGGAAGCGGGTGGGCGGACCTAACCTACTATGATACCATGTTAGAACACGAGAATGAATAGAAGCAAGGGAGAACAAGGGAGATATGGGGTTGGAGTTGTACCCTTTAAGAGCACACACCTATCTAGCGTATTACTTCTACATACAAATATACCGTATAAGTTGACAGAATGTACCCTAACTACGGTAAACGCCATGATTTGAGCCAGACAACCTCTCGTTATACGTGTCTCCAGACGCGTACCCACTTGCACCGTCACTATGTGAACGCCCTGCATCGCTGGAGTCATCGCAAGTCTGACTCCCATAATAGCTGCATGGCCTCTCAGGCGGCAGACAAGGCATGTTGCTGCGTGGCGGGTCGACAGCAGGGTACACCCTGGGCATGAATGGAGACTCAGCAGCCATGGCAGTAGGCACAGGAGGCATGCTCGCTCCAGCCTTGTACAGACTGGACGGGGAGGGGCACAACATATGGTATGGGAGGTGACCATATGGACATGCAAATTGATCACGCAATCAGGAATTCCAATTAGGGTGAACAACCGAGGCTGGAACCCACACAAGCACGCTCCTGGACCTCTTCCAGTAACATCCATACCTGTCAGGGTCGGCAGCATCGTCCACCTCATCCCTCTCCGGGCCTAGGCGCACGGCTCGGTAGACGTAGACGGGGATGGCGAGGGCGAGCAGCATGCAGGCGAGGGAGAGGACGAGGAAGCCGATCCACAGCAGCTGCAGGTCCGTCTCTATGCTGCGGCCCTGGTCCACCGCGAACTGGCATGGGGAGAGAGGGGAGCGGGGGGGGGGAGGGGGGAGGTGTTGGTTGCAGCGAAGGAAGGTTGGGCTTTGAGTCGACTCGCATCGAGAGCAGCTGCAGGTCTTTTTCTATGCTGCTGCCCTGGTCACAACGACGTGTCAGGGGAATGAGGGGAAATTAGGAGGTTGAGGGGGTGGAGAGAATGTGACACGCATGGCGTTAAAGGACTGTTATGTGGGGTCATGATGTGAGACCGGGATTGGGGCATTCACTCCATCTTCCCTTCACAACTGCAACACTCATTCTCCCCTCCTGTCCTCCCCCCGTCTCTCCCCTTCCCCTCCCTCTCTCCCCTTTCCCTCCCCCAACCCCTACCCCCCCACGGCGCAGCACGCACATGCAGGGAGTCGAGGACGTAGGAGCAGTTGACAGCAGCTTGGATGGTGGCGAGGGAGTCGTTGAGTGCGGCAACGCCCTCGCTGAGCGCTGAGACGTCCTCCACCACATGCGGTGACATGCCGCTGCTGGCGGGGCTGTACAGACTCTGATGGGGGGGTCGTGCAGGGGAAGGGAGACGCAAGGGAGGGACGAGAGAACGGGCGGCGTGGGGGGGGAGAAGAAGGAGGCGACGGCAGCGTGAGAGGGAGCATGGAAATTACTAACGGGCAGTGCTCTCGCACATGCAGAAGAGAAGGTGTGATTCTGAAGAGGGGCACTGGGAAGGGGGGGTTGGGAGGGCTGAGCGAGACACATGATGCGGTGCAACTCACAAGTGCATTCACATGCGCACGGACGTTACAAAGCAACGGGTCAGGCGCAGCAGCAACAGCACAGCGGGAAGAGCAGAGTGGGGATGATACGGACGGGGCACAAGCTGGGAAGAAAGAAGAAACGTACATTAGCGAAGGTCTGCAGGGGAATGGCGTTGGCGGGGCAGGGGGTGGGAGTGTAGGAGGGGGCAGGGCCGTACGGCACACAGACAGCGCTGTAGGGGCCTCCTGGCATCTGCTGCAGCACCTGGTGGGCAGGAGGGCCATGGAGACAGGGTGGTTGCAGTAGATAGTCAGAGGGTAGTGAGGGCAGGGTGGTGAGGGCAGGGTGGTGAGAGCAGGGTGGTGAGAGCAGAGTGGTGAGGGCAGGGTGGAGAGAGCAGGGTGGAGAGGGTGGTGCATGGTGAGCAGATCGTCAGAGGGCGGGGAAACACGTGTGGCAGGAGCAGGGTGGTGGCTCACTCGCACTGGCACAAACACTCCCATTCTTTCCCTCCGGCCGCAACCCGCACAAGCACTACCTGGGGGTATTGCGCGGCAACGGTGTTGTTGATGAGGCTGCAGGCCTGGGCGGAGGAGGCGTGCACGGCGTTACGGATGGAGGCAAGGCTGTGCGTGGCGGAGCAGGGCAGCGATGGCAGCACCCGCTGCTGCAGGCCCACATCATGAAACACCTCATCCGCTGCCACTGCTGTGTCGCCCTCCAGTCTGGGGGAAGGGGAACGGGGTTGGGTTTGGGAGAGGATTGGGGAGAGGGTTGAAAGGAGGGTTGGGAGAGGGTTGGAGGGAGGGTTGGGGAGAGGGTTGGGGGGAGGGTTGGGAGGGGGGGTTGGTTGAAGGGCTGAGGGGAGAGGGGGAGTGGTATGTAACGATACGAAGAGGCTATGGCGTTGAGGGAAGCCAGCTGCGCTGTGTATCAGGCGCACAGCACTGGCTGTAACTCGCATGCACGCGAGATTGAGGGGGTGCACACGCGCATCACACATACAGCGATGAGCGCTATGATAGGTGGTGGGTGGCAATAGACGCACATGGCGGAGAGTAGGAAGACGGAGGTGAGGCACCAGGTGAACACAACCACTGCCCAGATGACGGTGATCAGGCTGAGGGGGGGAGGGGGGGAGAGATGGAGGGAGCGAGGGAGAGAGGGTTAGTGGGCGAGAGAAAAGGAGGGAGGGGGAGAGAAGGGAGGTGATAGAGGGGGATGTGAGGGAGGTGGGAGAGAGAGACGGGGGGAGGGAAAGGGAGATGTGGGAGGGGGGTTTTTAAGGGGGAAACCAAGATAAGGGCGGGAGAACAGGGAGCACAGCAAAGGAGGGACGGAATTATGAAAGGTGGATTCATTGTGAGGGGCGGCAGAACAAGGCGCAAGCAGAGGGGGCAGCAGGGTAGCATGTGTGCACTAGAACAGGGATCGTCGACGTGAGCATGTGCACCTGTGCATGTGCATGTGCATGTTTGCATGTGCCTGCATGCATGAAGGCATGTGCATGCATCCTTACATGTTGGACGCAATGACCAGCTTGAGAAAGGCAAATACTGGAGGAAGGGACGCATGGGCAGAGGAAGAAAAAAGGTGCGGGAGGCCGTTTGATGCATTGCAAGGAACGGTGCAGGTGGGAAAAGTACGGCACAGGGGAGGGAGTAAGATGAAGAGGGGAATAGGGATGGAGAGGTGAAGAGAGAGAGGAAGTGGAAAAGAGAGGAGCAGACAGAGGAATAGCAAAACCACCCGAAAGAGCAGCAAGGGGGCAGCAAAGGGGGCAGCAGGGGAAGCAAAGGGGGCACCCGAGGGGGCAGCAGAGGGGGCAGCAAAGGGGGCAGCAGAGGGGGCAGCAGAGGGGGCCGCAATGAGGTCAGCAGAGCAAGCAGCCGAAATGGGAGGGGCTTGGGCATCGACTTAAAGCAGACCATGGTTGCCATTGGTGCAGCAGGTGGGAATGCGTGCGATGGTGACCCAGGCACTCACCCACGCCCACCAAGCAGAGGGCCGTGATGACCGCTCCCATGGCGAACAGACTCATGAACCTGGGGCCAGGGAGCATGGGGGGAAGGGGCATGGGGGAAAGGAGCATGGGGGGAAGGGGCATGGGGGAAAGGGGACATGGGGCGAGGGGGCATGGGGGAAAGGGGACATGAAGCAAGGGGGTAAAGGAGGCAGGGAGGACACGGCTGACCGAAAGCTACACATGAGCTGGACTGTGCACACCAACACCCTACAACCCCACCCCCTTCTTCCCCAACAACCCCCCCTCCACCTCTCCCTCCCCCGTCACTTGCACCTGGTTCCCCCACCCCCCCTACCCATCCCCCCACCCCCCTTTCTCCCCCCGCCCCAAACAACACCCCCCCCACCTCCCCCCTCCCTCCCCCCTCTGTGTGGTGTGCTTGGTGTGGCACTGACATGTACTTGAGCGCGCGGTCCGCGGCGTCCCTGTCCCCAGTGAACGAGCTCTCCATGCCCTGCGCCGTGCTCCACGCCTTCAGCGCATGCTGCCACACCTCGCCCCGCGCTGGGAATGGCGGAAAGAGAGGGAGGGAGGCAGGGAGGGAGGGAGGGAGGGAGGGAGGGAGTGAGGGAGGGAGGGAGGGAGGGAGGGAGGGAGGGAGGGAGGGAGGGAGGGAGGGAGGGAGGGAGGGAGGGAGGGGGTTAGGAGAGCGGGTGAGAGCAATAACAAGAAGAGGCGGGAAACATGGCGTGAAAGGAATGACCTTCGTGTCTGTACCCGTCCTCCCGTGGTGCTGCTTGGTGGTGCGGCCATACCAGCACTGGGCATCTTGGTGTCCCCCACGTCCACGTCCACGAGCCCCGCCATGGCCTGGGACACGTTGTACGCCGTGCCCACCACCTCGGTGAGCCGCGCCACTGCATGGTCGCGCACTGCGCCCACGTTCTTCTGCAGCAGGATGCCCCCCGCCAGCATCACCGCGAACCCGCCACTGCAGGGGCAGAAAGGGTCGGAGCACAAGGTAGGGGCACGCAGGGGAGGAACGGGGGAAGTGGCAAGGCGGATGGGGGCGAGGGTGAGGACGCAGGGAGTGGCCGAAAGAGGAATTGGGTGCTCAAGCAGAAGGGAATCTCAAAAGCCTAATTTTGAGACTCTCATAAGCTCCAGCTGCCGACGCAAGTAACCAAGCTGTTGGGCACTGCAGCAGGTGTTGGTGCAGTCGCTGTCAGAGCAACGAAACTACAGTATTGCGAATCCCTACACCCCCAACCCCGAACTGCGCTCCCCGCTCACAGCAGGACGACAGTGCCGATAACGAGGCAGATGCGCGGCAGGGTGAGGTGGCGGCGCGAGTAGGGGCAGTGGTCGGGGTCTCTCACGCGCGCCCAGCGGCGCGGGCAGCAGCAGCAGCACAGGCACGACGCGCCGATGAAGCCCAGCCCCAGCAGCAGCCACAGCACCGCTATCAGCGGCCCGAAACTGGCCGTGAACGACACGGACTGGGGGGCGGGGAACGAGGACGGGAGGAGGGGAGGAGAGAGGGGGGGAGGAGAGGACACAGAGGGGAGGGGAGAACGAAGAGGCAGGAGAGGGAGAAACGGGATGAGAGTAAGGACAGGGGAGGGTGGTTGTGAAGAGGAACAGGGGAGGCGGAGAGTTGAAGCGAAGAGGAAGTGAAGAGAGGAGGGAGGAAGGGGAGGGGGGCATGACATGCATGTGGACGTTTTAGCACTGGCGGTGAGAGGAAAGGTGTGTCGGATATGGGGGGGGCGGGAGAAGGCGGGAGGCGAGAGAGAGGGGGGTGAGAGGGGGTGGGCGCGGACGTATGGGGGAAGGGGAGAGAGAGTTGGGGGAAGGGCGAGGAGGGAGGTGGGGGGGGAAGAAAAGAAGTCACGTGAGCGGCGTAGACGAGTCGTGAGGCGGTTTATAAGGCGTATGGGAGACGCACGGCCCAGTAGTGCAGGTTGGAGGGGTCGTAGCCGCCCTCGTACTCGCGCATCCCGTTCAGCGGGTCCCTGCGACGCGTGCGATTCGCCGCCAGCACGTACTGTCCCAGCGACAGCTTCCAACCCGCGACTTGAACGCCCAGTCGCCTGCGACGTCGCAGCGTGCCCAGCGCATCGTCACTGCGCGTGTCGCCGGGGCTCGCAGCGGTGCGACTGTCAGTCGCCACAGTAGCGCCTCCGCAAGGGGCGGCTTGCGCGACGGCGAGGGGGGCGGCGGAAGCTTTTGCCTGGGCGGAGGGAAGGCGGAGGTGAAGGCTCCGCGGGAGGTGCAGCGAGAGGGAAGGCGCAGAAGAGAAAGAGCGCGGAGACGGGGAGCAGCGCCCTGAATGCGCGCCGGCGATGAGGGCGGTGGTCACGACGACGAGCGCCATGCGGAGATGGGCAGCGGAGGGTGCTGGTGCTCCAATGCGTGAATGCAAGCGGCTCGTCATCATCCTTCCTGCTGCTCTTATCATGCGACGACTCTGCGATTCTGCGACTCCGCGACGAAACGACGACTGCCACTAGCAGTAGCGTGGCTCGCGCGTCAACGTACTCTGCGTCCGAGTGAGCCCTAATTATGAGTCGCGCGGGACCAATAGTAGTACTACTACTACCGTTTGTAAGCCTCGTCGGTTGGGCGTACGGCGCGGAAGGTCTGCTTTAAAGGCGGAGTTTTTTCGTATTCTCCAGATTCTAAGAGTCTTACACGACTGCGGTGCGCGGCTGTAAATGTGTCAGCGGATTCGCGAAACGGCGGGTTTGAGAGCGCGGCGGTACTTATCGATTGCTTGGAACGCCTTGGGAAACACCTACGGCGGTCGGCATAAGGGGTTTCGATTCTATGAGCAGCTGTCGCTCGCTCGCAGTGGGATTTCAGCGCCCTGCGACGAGGCAACCCCACGCCCGGTGAGGGTGATGGTGGAGGGAGAGGAGAGTGAGTCTGTCTGATACAGTAGAGCAGAGCAGGAGGTGCGCCGAGGTGACTCGTGGCAGCAGCGCATGGAGCAGCGCAGAACGCCATGATGTGGAGTGCGGAGGAGCTACGGGGAATTCTCTACCAAGCGAGCTTGCTCTGCTCTGGTGCTTGCTGGTCGTCGTCGTCGTCTTGAGAAGCCATGGTCCGTTCGCCCGCGCCATGGCGAGGCAACGAGGCGATGGTATGGCGTTGAGGGTCGTGTGACTGCGGACGACTGAGCACAAACCTATCACAGTGACGAGCGGGTGTCTTGCTGGCAGGCGAACAAGAAAGAAAGCCAGCAAGATGCTGCATCCTCTCCGCACATCCATTGCGCCCTCTGCGCTCTCTCCGTGAGGTGGCCTGGCCAGTGGCTAGTGGTGCGCAGGGGTAGAGGCCAGGCCAGCGAGGCTAGTTCGGGGGAGGGGGACGAAAGGGGAAGAGCTCGGAAGAAAGCGGGGGGAGAGCGCGCTGCCGAAAAGCGCCCAATGGTCGTGAATGGTACTTTCCCGGCGGAATTGCGCGGCTCTGCGAGACCGCGTCCTCAATTAACATTTTCTACCCGTTTTGCTCACGGCCCGGGCAACCCCGATCTCGGATAAACATTTTCTACGCGCGAGTCGGGAAATGCGTTTTTGATTACGTGAGGTCTTTTGGGCAGCTTCGACCGTTTTTCGCCTTCCGCGTTTCTAACAGTTGAGAGTTGTAAAGGACCTGGCGGGGAGGTTGTCGCCTGTCTGTATCGATTCCGCTGAAACAAGACGTACATTTCTGCACATGGATTCAAAGGCCATTTGGCAGGATGCAGTGTTCGTCACTTGGTTCAAATTCTAGACGGTACATGATGACGTAGCTGTACATTTATGGTAGTGGCGCGAATTGAGGTTACGGTGCATGTGTTCTCGTGAGTTCTCATGGTGGTGCACAAACTCTCATGTTTCCCTTGCCCGAAATGATGGCCCGAAATTATGACAGGGCTGTCAAAGTTCGCGTGGAGTTTAGCTAGTGGCGGAAGTTGAGCTTTGGGGCATGAGTCTTCAGGAGAATCCATGAACTATCGTGTTTTCTCGCGTAAATCTCGTTTGCATCTGCCCAGATTCCACAGTGCCACGCCAGCGCCCTTCTGAGTAGGAATCGTATCTCCCCCTTGCAACACTGTTGAAGTGTGGCGGTACTGTTACGGATGACTGTCCAGTTGGCTGGTAATTCACGGGCAATCACTAAATCCCAAATACAGTTCACACAATTTCAAATTCCGTAACTTTCGCATTTCCCGACTCGCGTGCAGAAAATATTTATCCGAGATCGGGGTTGCCCGGGCCGTGAGCAAAACGGGTAGAAAATGTTAATTGAGGACGCGGTTTCGCGGAGCCGCGCAATTCCGCCTACTTTCCCCCCCATGGGCAGAGTGGGTGAGGGGGGTGATGTGGGCGCAAATCCGCCACCGAGTAGGACTTTCCGCGGCTTCAACAGGGTCAACACGAATCGTACAAGGAAAATCAAACGGGTACAGTAGTATGGAATGTATATACTGTATGGTAAAACACATGAAATTCAATCGGTTGTAAACAAGGGTTTTAATCCACATATATTTTATATACACTTCTCCATTAGAATCAAACAAAATGCAAACAAGTAATAAGCAGGTGTTGGGCTGAGAAATGCCCTTAGGATCTTTCCAGAGACTAAGTCCCAGTTGTAGAATGAGACTTGAGTAGTGCAGCGGAAGTTGAGTGGTTGAACCCTTGTACTAGTATATGAGAACAAGTGATTGATTAAAGAAACAAGCATACAGCAATATATAGAAGATAAGAAAGCAGTTGTAGAATACAGTTGAAAGAGCGGTTATCGAGTCGCACAGCGACTCGATTGTCGCTTCGGTTACCATCCGCGATGTTGTAACGGTCAGTCGCAACCTCCAGTTGCGACCTTTCGAGTCCCTTCGCGTTCTTTGTCCAGCCCCTCGTGTAACCTCCGTTGACTCGCGTACTCGTTGCGATCTTCCTCGAGTGTAGTGTTACACTTCAGAAACGCTTAAGTCCTTTGAGATATTTCCAACACTCCCCTTCGTTTCTGGAGTGCTGACGTGTTCAGATCCGGTGACGTTTGTCTGCCCGGTCAGCAGCGTGCAGTAATCGAATTTTGCATTCGCCAATTTCTTCGTCAGATAGTCTGCGGCCATTTCTGTCGTAGGGCAGTAACTGAGTTGAAGTCTCCCCTTCGCGATTTCATCCTTGACGAAGAAGTACCGCAGGGCGATGTGTTTGGTTCGGTTGGCGAAGCCGTCCTTGTTCGCGATTTTGATCGCAGATTGGTTGTCGCAGAGGAGTGAGAAGACGGGCAGGGTCGCAATCTTCGCTTCCTCTAGCAGCTCTCGTAGGTAGAGTCCTTCCTTGGTCGCAGTGCAGAGGGCGATATATTCTGCTTCAGCCGAAGATAGTGCGATTAGTTCCTGCTTGCTCGACTGCCAGGAGATAGTCCCGATAGGTTCTAGTCGGTAGATGTAGCCCGTTCTCGATCGTCGATTTTCCTTGTCTCCCGCGTGGTCGGCGTCGACGTATCCGAGTAGTCGTACGGACCGTGTCGTTACTTTGCTGCAGGTGAGCCCGGTCGTCGGCGTGGAGACGAAGTAGTGTAGTGCCCGATTAAGTTCCTCGAGATCTTCTTATTCCGGCTGCTTCAGATGCGTCGCCAGTTGGCTCGCGCTGTAAGAGAGATCGGGTCGGCAGGTTACTGCTGCGAATAGTAGGTAGCCGAGCTTCTGCTGATACTCCTGGATTTGCTTCGCGGGGAGTTTTGCGGAGGTGCTAATGTTGTTCCCGTAGCGGTAGGGAGTCGGGACCGTAGTCGGCGTTAGACCGAATTTCTTCACGACAGTGCCTGCGTACTTTCCAGCGTGTAGGTAGAGCGCCGAGTTGTCTTCGACGACATTCAGTCCCAGGTACTGGGTCACTGTGTCGGACACTGTGAGTGTCAAGTCCTCTTTTAGCTCCCCTTCGAACCAGGTGGCGTTGTCGGTAGTGGAACTGATGTAGAGCAGGTCGTCGACGTAAACAATGAGTAGGATATACTCTCTTCCCTTTTGCAGTCGGTACATGCCTTGGTCATGCGGCAGCTGTAGGAATCCGATTTTTACGAGGCGACCGTGAAGATGCTGCTGCCAGAGCCGCGGGGCTTGCTTGATCCCGTATAGGGATTTTATCAGCTGGCATACTTTCGTGGGGTCGTCGATGAATCCGTGGGGTTGCTCGACGAAGATCTCAGCGTCCACAGGTGCGTACAGGAAGGCATTTGCGATGTCGATTTGGCGCAGTGGTAGTTTCTTCGTGGCCGCGACGGCGAGTAGGATGCGCAATGAGGTGTGACGGGAGACTGGGGCGAATGTTTCTGTGTAGTCGGTTCCGTATCGTTGATCGAACCCTCGTACGACCCATCGAGCTTTGAATCGTTCGGTGGAACCGTCCGCATTGGTCTTGATGCGGTACACCCATTTTCCCGAGAGGACGTTCTTCCCGTTGATGCTTGTTGCATGTAACAGCTTCCATGTATTTCGGTCTTGCAGAGCCTTTAACTCCTTTTCCATCGCCTCCTTCCATTTTGCCTTATGTTCCCCCCCAGAGCCTGCGACAGAGTCGAGGGCTCGCGCGGAGATGGCGGCGGCGGATGCTGGACGGAGACCCATAGGCCGAGTATCTGCAGTCCCGTTGGTGTGTGTCGAGGGGAATTTTCATTCCCGGAATAGGCTGCTTCGTCACCGTCTTCTGGATCAGGTAAGAAGTTTGGGCCGATGCGTTCTGAAACATTCGTGTCGACCGGGTGGGGTGTAACGTAACCTTGGTCAGCGAAGTGGTAAAATGTGTCGAGGTTGTTGCTATCGAGAGGATTGTCTTCGTCGAGTGGAACAGGTACGGAACAGAAAGGGAGTGGTCCGGCAGCTTCCGAGGCTCCAGGTACGTCTTCTTCTGCTGCGTCAGCCTCGGCAGCACGGTCGGCGAAGGAACGAAGGCCCGCGAAGCCGTCGGTGGGGTCATGTGTGTTGGCAATGTTGTCCAGGTAATGCTGCAGCGTCAGTCGCTCGTAGAAGATAACATCACGTGATGCCACTGTAGTTTTGTCTTGTATGTCGAGGATTTTCCATGCGTGAAAATGTTGTGCGATGCCGAGGTATAGCCCCCATCGTGCTCGTTGGGTGAAACGTCCTGCTCTGGCTGTGTGGGGTCTGTACTGTACCATGCAACCGAAAACTCGAAGTAATTTTGTGCTGCCCCTTTTTCGTGTCCACAGCAGGTGCGGTGATGCGTTGTTGGGAAGTGATGACGAGGACAACAGGTTGTGCAGGTGGACTGCATGGGTCATCGCGTCTGGCCACAGTGTGGTGGGCAGTCTCATCCCCAGGAGTAGCTTCCGCATCATCGTCTGCAAGGTCCGGTTCATGCGTTCTGCGACCCCCTGCTGCTGGTGAGCGTAGGGCAGAGACACCAGGCGTCTGATTCCTTTTTCCGCCAGATAGGTCCTGAAGCGTTGTGACTGGTATTCCAGTGCACCGTCTGACTGGAAGCTCTTGAGCTTTGTTCCTGATTCTCGTTCAGCGATGGGTAGGCATGTTGTGAAGGCGTCGAAGGCTTGATCACGCGTCTTGAGGTTGTAGTGCCAGACGTATCTTGTTGCTGCGTCGATAAACGTGATGACATAGTTGAAGTCGGCTTCAGTGTCTTCTCGAGGCATGTTTAAAATGTCGCTGTAGACTTTTTCCATCGGTGCGTATGCAGGTGCGCTTGGGTTGTGATGAGATGGGAAAGACTGGTGGGGAAGATCGGCTTCGGGGCACGTAAAGCACCGTGCGCGTGGTCGTCGAAGTTCTTGGCCGCTCGTTGTTAGGAGGGCGTTGTGTTCTAACACTTCGGCTTGGATGGTTTGCAGTATTGTACTGTTTGCAGGGTGCCCGAGTCGTTGGTGCCAGATGTCGTCGGGAGCGCGATGGCCGGGCGAGCGGTGGTATATGTCAGTGTTGGAGAAGAACGCGACGACCGTGGCGGGACTTCGACAGACTTCTCGTGTGATGGGCATACGTTGATCTGCTTCGGTTGGCGGTCCTCGGATCGCTGGTGGTGGTACTCGGCTGGGTCCTGCTGCTGCTACTGCAGGTGATGGTTGGGAAGGGACACTTGCTGGTACTTGTCTTTCTTGTCTGATGACTGCTAATGCTCGTGTTCTTTCTGCTGCAGGTATGGTGTTGGAGTGCCAGAACCCATTAGGGTCGAAGTCGGGGTCAAGATCCGGCGGGTGTGTCCAGGCGGCGAACGACACGATTCCGTCGCTGTCGGTAGTACCGCGGTCGGGGACGAAGTCCAACACGAAGACGCCGGACTTCAGGAGAGCACGACCGATGAAGAGACCGCCCTTCCCGTGGTAAAGGCGAAACTCGTTGGAGTAGGAGTCGCACTCCAGGTGAATCCCTTTTGCCATTAGCTGGCTGACGCTTAGTAAGTTGTATCCCAAGTTGTTGACGATGAGGACCTTGTTGAGTTGAAGTATAACGTTTGTCTCCATGGATTGTAACTGAACCACTCCTTGTCTGTTTGTTTTCAGGTTTTCGTTGTTGGTGACGGTGATGATGACGTCGCGGGTGAGGCGTCGCTCTCGTTGCACGAAGCGTCCGGAAGAACACATGTGTTGACCACAGCAGCTGTCCAAGAACCAGGTGTTTCGCCCGGTGGGTTCGGCGTTGGCGACCGCAGCATATGTCGGGTTGACCTCAAGTCCTTGTGAGCGTGGCGGCGGAAGTTCTTCTTCGTCTGGTGCGTAAGTGGGTGGTGATACGGGTGCACAGTTGTCGATGTGTACCATGCAGTTAATGATGTTCGGTGTCCCTTGTGCAGATGTGGAAGAGCGCCTTGGAGGGCTTTCTTGAGTGGAGGCGACGTGTGGGTCTACTGGATGATAAACACGAGGACGTGTGCAGTTGACCTTGGAATGTCCGGAAGTCTGACAGTTGTGACAGAACGGTGGCACGAAGGTGAGTCCTCTGTTCTCGCGTTGATCTTGTTTGCCGCGTCGATTGTAGTTGTTGTCGTTCCTTCGTTGAGTGTAGAAAACTAACTGCTGCTGCTTCCTTGGTTGTCTTTCTTCGAACAGGTCCATCTCCTGTTGTTTAGCGTGAAGCTCGGCGCAGAGGTGCATCTCCGATATCCTTCCGTGGGCGCGAAGAAGCGAGCGTGTGGTTCTCCATTCTGGCCCGAGCCCGGCGAGGACAAGCGTCACGAAGCTTTCTTCAGTGATTGTTCCTCCGCACCGAAGCAAGCGGTCGCGGAGGGTCTGGCAGCGACTCATATACTGCATCGCCTTTTCCCCGGTCTTCATCTGTATTGTTGTCAGTTGTTGCATGAGTCTGCTTTGTGTCACGCTGTCGTTTGCTTGATAGAGACACTTGAGATGATGCCATGCGAGTTCCGCGGAGTTTCCATAGCTGCGATATGTTCTGATGCTCTGCTGTTCTTGTGGTGACAGGTTCCGCAGGAGAACTGTGTACGCCAGCAGCGACTGATAAGTAAATATCTCTTGCTCCTTTGCAGTGCCGTTGCTTGGGAATGGCAGGGACCCGTTGAAGTATCCCAAGAGATGCGCAGCCTCCATCAGCAGCTCGAACTCAAAGCTCCAGGTAAAGAAATCGTGTCCGTTGAATGGTGAGGATGTCTGCAGTTTAATCACGTGTGAAAACTGCGCCTGGAGACTTAAAATCTCGTTTGGTGTTTGTTGTGATGCAGCTGCTGTTGGTTGGGCACGGGGCGGCATGAACTCGAATGTCCCCGGTGAAGAGTGATAAGGCGCAAAGGTAGGCGCTTGATTGTGTCGCCCGAACGATGAGTTGTCGAGGCTCATCGGCGCTAATCCCATGTTCCCTCCGTTGCTCTGTGTTGAATGTGCAGGCGTCCTTGTCTGCTGCTGCTGGTCGAAGTGCGACATGAAGCTGAAGAACCTTTCCATAAGGTTTGGATCCACGCTTGAGGAGGGTGATGGGGTCACCATTTCCGGTGTTCTTCCTGTTGTTTCTTGAGCAGCGCCGGTCTCGGTTTGCAGTCCTGAAGTATGCAATCCATAGTTGCCGGGTTGAATATCTTGGGCGCTGGGTGAGCCCGTAGAGATTTTCTTGCCCTTGCTGTCCATGACTTGTAATGAATGAAGTCGTTGAATTGCAGATTGTGGATAGAGAGTAGTTGCTGGGAGTTTGGTCTCTGACCAGCTCTCATACTATGTTGGGCTGAGAAATGCCCTTAGGATCTTTCCAGAGACTAAGTCCCAGTTGTAGAATGAGACTTGAGTAGTGCAGCGGAAGTTGAGTGGTTGAACCCTTGTACTAGTATATGAGAACAAGTGATTGATTAAAGAAACAAGCATACAGCAATATATAGAAGATAAGAAAGTAGTTGTAGAATACAGTTGCAGGAGCGGTTATCAAGTCGCACAGCGACTCGATTGTCGCTTCGGTTACCATCCGCGATGTTGTAACGGTCAGTCGCAACCTCCAGTTGCAACCTTTCGAGTCCCTTCGCGTTCTTTGTCCAGCCCCTCGTGTAACCTCCGTTGACTCGCGTACCCGTTGCGATCTTCCTCGAGTGTAGTGTTACACTTCAGAAACGCTGAAGTCCTTTGAGATATTTCCAACAGCAGGTAAAGAATAATCCCAACACGAGTGTGCTCCTGAATCCTCATGCTCACACTTGTTATCTTGGTGGAAAGGGAAATATGTGTTGTACGTAATATGTACACAATGGCGGCTATTATTGAGGAAAATATATGGGCAAATAGTACCATACTACTTCTATTGTATTCTGATTGTTTTCAATACAAACAGGACTCTATCCATCTGTAAGGAAAACAAGTTTCCTTACTGTGCGTAGAACCTTGTGTTGAAGTATATGTCAAATATATGTTTGAAAGCTAACTAAACGAGGAAGTAGGGAAGCCCGCCATAAAATGGCGGGAGGGGTTTAGGTAGGAGAGAAAATGTCGAGAGAGAAGAGGATCTCGACTATAAGAGAATGGGGTACAAGAAGGGGGTTGTCCCCTCTACAATAGGATGCAGTTAGTAGCATAACTACCAAGCCTACAATTATATAAAATATAATTGAACAATATATACCGTATTTGCCCGGATTTATGACCCTCAAAATTGAATGCCCCAATACGGCTTATTTCCGACAGTTCTTTTAGGATGGTTTCTCAATGTTTAAACCCGTTCTTTTCGTTGTATATGAAAGATTTCGAGAAGGTGGTGTAGAAGACTACGTATAGAATCTGCAGACATAAGTACTTGAAGTTGAAAGTAATAATGGAAGTACCTTCAGTAACAGCTAGTATTAACAAATTGTAGCACCAGAGTCAGTGTTACAGCCTTGCGATACTTCTAGACTTAACCAAGGATCTTTGCTGGAATGATAGACCAGGGCTGACGTTTAAAAAAAAAACCACTCTGAGCCAACCCCCCCCAGAAAAAAATTAGTCTGAAGGGCCTTCAGCCAAAATTTCGGTACTCTGAAATGTCAGAGTCCAGAACTAAGCTTGTCTGATTTTCTCAGAGTACAGCGAGTACAACCAGAGTTTAAAAAAATAGAGAAGGAAATTTACGTAACTTTTAAGGATATTGACGACGATGCCAGAGCATGAAAATGTTTTGGCCCCTAGACAGGGGGAGACGAAACAACTATTTTCTAATAGTCGTCCTTTTTAGGGATATTCTTGTCCGTTGCCCATTTGGTCAACCAAAACTCAATCAAACTTTGACGGCCTCGATCGGTTGCGATCGTTTCGATATGTTTCGACCATTCGATGGTCGCTAAAGATTGACGTCCAAGATCTCCCAACCGGGGCGCTTCAAGGACGCGAAGTTTCTCCCACCGCTCTATTCACCCAGCTTGCCCCCTCTCCCTACGGGTAGTTTTGATCCCCCCCTCCCCCTCCATTTTCGATCCCCCCTCCCCCTCCGTTTCGCTTCCCCCTTCCATCCGTTTCGATCTCCCCCTTTCCCCTCCATTTCGCTTGCCTTCTCTCCGTGCCCAGCTCATCCTCATATCTGTTATAGTTCTGTTTCTGACTTAGCCAAAATTTTGGGCTATTTGGGTTGGGGTGTTAGGGTGACTATGTCTGATAACGCCACTTAGCCGAAATTTTCGATATGTTGTGGGGTGTGTGGGGGATGTCTCTAGCGTTCGGGGACTTCGCCAAAATCTTCGATGGGTTGTGGGGTGTGGGGGGGATGTCTCTAGCGTTTGGGGACTTGGCCGAAATTTTCGATGGGTTGTGGGGTGTGTGGGGAATGACTCTAGCGTTCGGGGACTTCGCCGAAATTTTCTGGGTCCCAGGTAGAAGGTACATCTGGTTCAGGGTCTGTACGCGCTGTGCTCTGGAAACTCAGTACCGGGTTAGCAACAAGTCTGAAAATTTCAGGATCCCTAAATTCGTACTCTAAAGTGATCAGGATTGGAAAAATGGGTAATCTGATAATTCAGGTTTGGCCAGAAAAAGGGTCTGAAATTTCAGACTAATCAGACTAAATAGTATGATAAAATCAGCTTTGTGGTAGACTAGTAAGACAGCGGAAGTCTTAGAACTTGTAAAGTGTTGACCAGAATTTTCTTAAGAACAAGTTAATATTTGAAGTTGTACAAGCTACTTTTATATCTGCTAGAAGTACCTATTCGGTGATGTACCTATTCGAGCTATTTGTGCCATGCGCTCTAACTGCTACTGAAAAGAGCGCGACTGTTCGCGTGACCGAAAAGGCTTGCTGGCGTAACCATCCAAACGAGCGCTATTTGCTGACGTCATTCTACGGATGCTAACTATAGTGTAACTCGACAATATCTATCGGGATTACTTACATAAATACTTAAGTACGATTTTACCACAACACTCCCCTTCATTTATGGAAATCCGATAGTGTCACTTCTTGACAATTCCGCAGAGCTCGTTGCAGTATTGAAACTTCTGATGTGTCAGCTTCTTGGTGAGAAAATCTGCAGCCATTTCATTGGTCGAACAGTAGAACAATCGCATTCTCCCCTTCTCGACTTTATCTTTGACGAAAAAGTACCATAGCAAAATATGTTTCATCCTGTTGGCGAAACCAGGTTGATGCGCAATTCTGATTGCACTTTGATTGTCGCACTGCTGGGTGAACTGTGAACTTGTCGTCAATTTCGCCTCCTCCAATAGCTCTTGCAGATAGAGACCTTCGCGAGAAGCTGTGCAGGCAGCTATAAACTCGGCTTCAGCGGATGAAAGAGCTACTAGCTCTTGCTTAGTAGAATTCCACAAGATAGTTCGAATAGGCTCGAGGCGATAGACGAACCCGGTTCGCGATCGTCGATTAGTAGTTTGTGCTGTATGATCTGCATCGACGTACCCGTTAAGATATAAGGTTTTCGTAGTAGTAGCTTGATAGGTAAGTCCGACTTCAGGTGTCAAAATGAAATATTGCAGAGCGCGAAGAAGATCTAGCCGATTCTCCCCCTCAGGTCGACACAGAAATTGCGCGAGCTGGCTAGCGACGAAGGCGAGATCTGGACGACACGTTACAGCTGCGAATAGAAGACAACCCAGTTGCTACTGATAAATCTGTAATTCCGCGCTGTCGAGTGGAGTAGTGTCCGGTTGATGATTAGCCGGTAGAGATCGATAAGGAGTGGTTACTGTCGAAGATGTAAGATTAAACCGTGTGGCTAGCGTAGTTGCATACTTTGAAGCGGTTAGATGAATAGCTGTTGCTGTTCGGTGAATGTTCAGTCCGAGAAACTGTGTGACTGTAGGGGCGATAGTAATCTGTAAGTGCTGTTGAAATTTCTGTTAGAAGATAGTAGCGAGAGAATCCGTAGTGCTAATATAAAGCAAGTCGTCGACGTAGGCGACGAGTATAATATAATCGGTACCGTCGGTAAGCAAGTACATTCCTTGGTCAGATGTAGATACTGCTGCCATAGTCGTGGTGCCTGTTTGATGCCATAGAGCGATTTTCCGAGACGGCACACGCTGGGAGGATTAGTCTCATAGAAATGTGGATACTCGACCATAATTAGTGCGTCGACAGGCGCATATAGAAAAGTGTTGGCGACGTCGATTCTTCAGGTGTACCACGAATTGCTGCTTCGGAGACAATGGGCATGGGCTGCTGTTGGCGGTCACGTTTGTAATCGAGTTCAACGTCGCGAACATCTTCAGGGTCAGCATCAACGAGTGGAATAAACTCTGCAGTTCCAGCTGACGTGGTTGGCACGGGGACGTCTGTGGCAGCTTCGGAGGATTCAGCCACGAACTCGTCCTGTACATCAGCTTCGGCATCGTCGGTGGCAAAAGCACGCGAGCCCTCGAACAACCTGGCAGGATTGGCAGCTGCTGCCTGGTGAGCACGAAAAATAGGTAAGGTTAGGCGTTCGTAGAAAAGACAATCCCGTGCTGCTACGATTTGACTCGTGCGAAGATCCATGATTTTCCACGAGTAAAACTTCTTCTCGATGCCAAGATGTATTCCCCACTTAGCCCGTTCCGAAAATTTGCCGAGTGCTGCTGTCGGAGGTCGATATTGAACGATGCACCCGAAAACTCTTAAAAGTTTTGTGTTGCCCACTGTAGGTTTTTGTCCATTGTAGGTGTGGTGAAGAAAATTCCGGAAGAGAAGTTGTCGACAGCAAGTTGTGAAGAAGGACGGCGTGGTCCAACGCGTAAGTCCAAAAGTGAGGTGGTAAAGCTGCCTGAGTCAGCAGGACTCGCATCTTCTCTTGGAGAGTCCTGTTCATCCTTTCTCCTACCCCCATCTGTTGGTGTTGATGTGGCAGGGACAACCTGCGTTTGATTCCGAGGGTTTATTGGTAATCAGTGAAGGTTGTGTTCGTATACTCCCCTGCGCCATCACTCTGAAATTCTTGCAACTTCTCCTTTGAT